CGAAATGCCTCTCGGCCAAGCAGGCCGGGACCGTCGCAGACAATGTGTTGAACCCGTTCGCCACCATAGGGTCCATCGCCATGGAGCGCGAGATGGATTCAGTCGTCGAGAAGCTGAGGTCGGACACGTCTCTGCTTTACGGCGTGAGCGCCCTCCTCTCTGACGCCAGCATGTGCGAGTTGCTCAAGAAGGCCCACTGTGTCCAGGCGCTCGTGGGGATCTCGAAAGATGGGAACCTGGATGCTCTACTACTCGGGGTCCAGCCTGGCGGCCCTGCGCAGCTCAGCGCAGCCAAGAAGGCCGCCCCGAAGGTCAAGAAATTGAGGGCCACACGCAAGCGCATGAAGCACTTGACAAACTACGTGGACCAAGTGGTGCCCCCTGCACTTCGGCGCATGAACACCAAGGGCCTCTTCGACATGGACGACGACGGCAAGAAGCTGCAGCATGTGAACAATGAGGACGTGCTGCCGATCCTCCTATGGGCGCTCCGTTGCCAGGGCGAGATGCTGCTCCCCCACACCTACCTCGAGGACAGCAAGGGGGTCGAGTTGCCCGACTTGGTGGACCTTTTGGCGCTCAGGCACACTGAGGTCGGCGCGCCCCTGAATGACATGGACCCCGATGATCTGGAGCAGGCGGGGTGGTACAAGCACGACGACGACGACAAGAAGATCTCGTTCAGCTTGAGTCAGAAGGAGGGGCGTGGCCAACCCATCTCCCCAACAACTCTGAGGTGACTTGAACATGTTTCCCTCCACTTGTTTCTCGCCATCCTCCTTCCTACATCGGTGTAGGGCTAATAAATCCGCAGATTGCCCACAGCTTCGATCTAGCGTGCAGCGGGGGGCATCGCACGCTTGTCAGACTCCCCGATCAGCTCGAACCCTAGCCACCCAATGGGATGGGAATGTGTAGGCAGTGGAGGTGGAGGAGGATCAGGAGTAGGAGGAGGTGGACCCAACTTAAGCTCCTCCTGGACATCAGCGTGGCCTTCGCCGACAAGGTCAAGCTGCGCGACCGCTTCTCTATGGATGGTGCCAACGTATTGTGCACCACGGCTGGGGCGACAGTTCGCTTGGATCTGATGCCGCAATTTCTGGAGCTCAGCGAGGGAACCGCCTTCAATATCGACGCCCCCTGGACTCTCAAGGGGAACGCGCACCGCTCGGTAGAGAAGAGTGCCGACGCCGACGAGGTCGCGGGGGATGCCGCCACTTCCACCATGGGGCCTCCGTCCAAGAAGTCGAAGACTGAGTACAAGGGCGGCGCTATGATCAGCGACTCGTTGAGGAGGCGCTTGATGGAGAAGCCCGAGACTGCATCATCCTCAGGGGCAGCGCCGCCGAAGCCCAAACAGTAGACAGAAGGGCGGTGAGATGATGTTTTTTTGTTTCATGCGCCAGCCAGCCCTCGACACAGCAGTGCGAGAGAGGTGGCCGCCTTGGCCCGTTCGTGGATTGCGTATGGCGGCGCGTTGCACGGCAGGCGCAATGTTGGCCGATGTGGTACCGGCGCGCGTGGCAAGCCCGCGCAGCGCCTCCTCCTCCCCCCCATCCTCCTCATCATCCTCCTCTTCCCCATCATCCTCCTCCCCCCCCCCTCATCCTGCTCATCCTCCTCCTCACATGGGCCCCCAGACCGATGTCGGCACATCCCCCACAAGGTTCGCGAGCCCACTGAGCTCCAACGAAGGCCCCAGTGGCAGCGCCCACAAGAGTCCCCAAGCACGTGGCGGCACAACCCTCACACGTTTCGTGCCCCCCCTCCATAGGCCCCACCAAATGCCCAAGTGGCACCGCCCGCAGGAGTCCCCAAGCCAACTCCAGAACACCCACGCACTGGGGGTCGGGACCGTCCACGGCCTCGAGCGTGGCTCATGGGTTCCGTGGTCGCAATGTTGACGATGCTAGTGTTATGATGGCGGTGTTTGTTTTGTCACTGGGCATAGGAGGAAGAGGAGGAGGGGGAGGAGGAGGAGGAGGAGGGGGAGGAGGAGGAGGAGGAGGAGGGGGAGGAGGGGGAGGAGGATGGGGAGGGGGAGAGGAGGAGGAGGAGGAGGAGGAGGGAGGAGGAGGAGGAGGAGGAGGAGGAGGAGGAGGAGGAGGAGGAGGAGAGGAGAGAGGAGGAGGAGGACAGAGGAGGAGGAGGAGGAGGGAGGAGGAGGACAGAGGGAAGAGGAGGAGGAGGAGGAGGAGGAGGAGGAGGAGGAGGAGGAGGAGGAGGAGGAGGCGCGCGCCCCAGGAGGAGAAAGAGGAGACGCGCGCCTCACGGGGAGGAGGAGGAGGAGGACGATAACGAGGAGGAGGAGGAGGAGGAGGAGGGGAAGGAGGACAAGGATGAGGAGGCCGTGGCCGCTTTGTCTGGTGAGCCCCTCTTGCGCTAGCTGCTCGTGCTGACGGGGGGGGGGGGGGGGGGGGCGGGGGCGAAGTTGCACCCGCGCGAGGCGGGCCTCGCGCCTCTCGCACGACATCGACAACCGAACCCGATCGAGGAGGCAGCGAAGAGGGACTGACACTTGTCAAGTAGGCCCCCCCCCCTCTGAAAAGGCCGAGAGGGATTGAGGAGTGGAGGAGGCGGTGAAGGGGGGCATAAGGGTACGAGGAGCATAAGGTGTTGTAGAACTCACGTGAAGCGACGTTGACTTGTGACACGTTGGCGTCGAATGGGCGGGGCGCGCTGGCCCCGCTGGGGTAGCTTGATACCCGCGTCCCGAGACAGTTCCGCGTCGAGCCATTTATGCTCAAGCCCCAACGATTGCAGGGCGATCCGAGAATCACTGAACGATGCCAGAAGAGGGTGGCACTGGTGCACCACTCACACATCTTGATGTTGGCCCCGCGAGGCTGTATGACTTTGGATGCAGTCAGATTCTTCGCCGCATCGGCACTGGAGAGCACTGCGTAGTATATGATGGATCTGGGTCCCCAGTGCAACTACCGCCTGCGCCCGACGACACGCTGACACTGACGAGGCCAACTGCAAATTGTGAAGTTGAGGAGCACGATGTGGCATATATATATATATATATATGTATTGTCAAAGAGGCTTCTCCCCGACGGCGACGGCGCGCCAGCCTCAGTCGCTGATGCTGACGGGGTCACGCCTGTGTCTCAGTTGGTCCACAATCTGTCTACATGCGTTATCTCCCTGGGTGGGCTAAGTACTATCCAGTGCGAAGTTTACTGGCACGCGCATCCTAAGATCGTGGACTCCTTCAACGGATCAGACGTGCTAGGCATCTCGGCATGGCTCGTACTACCACCAATCATCACCTGGATGTTCGGCCGATAGAAGAACAACTTCATCGCTTCTCACAGTGGCGGTTGGCGGCAATCATTGGTATCGGTGATGTTGGACGAGAGGCACATTCGCAATTCTTCGAAGTCGGTTGCTGCGCTATGTCGGTCAGCTCGCGCAGCTGGTCAGCCCCGCCCACTATGAGACGCTAGTGCCTTCAGCAGCGAGCAAGAATTCACAAGCTCTGTCACTGGCATCCTTGCCCTGACGCGCTTGCTGTCGAGGCCCACTCGCAATTACAAGGACATGAGAGCTACAGGCGGCGCGCCCCACAGCGCGCTCATGGCCGAGATGTTGCTGACCAAATTCTTAGGCGAGGAGGCAGTAGCGTTCGACCTTTCTGACACCGACGCGAAGTGCATCGTCGTAGTCGAGAAGTGCGCCGTCGACGTGGCCGAGCTCAAGTCATCTCAGAGTCGATGCGGCGTGCAGTCGCAAGCCATGGTGGGCAAGAACGTCGCGGCTGACACAATCAAGATATTCGATTTCCTCATGCTCCTCGTATCGGAATCTACTGGCCGCGGGCGTTCCACGCCTTGGAAAACGAGACATGCCACTACGTGCGCTGCAATGTGTGAGAAGTTCGGCACGTTGGTGGAATGCCGCAGGGACTTGGACATATGGCATCGTTCTGATCATGTGGACCTCGGCGTTCTATGCGGCCGTGGCAAGCGAGCCCGCCGAATCTCTGGAGGTTTCAAAACGGCTCTCGTCAAACGTGCGAGGACGTCGAACCTCACGCGTAGGCCATCTCAACTGCTCGACGGCCTCTCCTTGCAGAATGACCCCCGAGGCTCCAAGAAGGCGCCGTTAACGCCAGGGAGAGCGTTCGAGACGTTCGAGATCTACCAGTATTGGTTGACAGGGAGGTCGTTGGCCATTGAGGCACAGCCACCCTTCCCATGGAAAAAAATCGACAGAACAAATGTTACGGAGCCTCGCCCTCCGACCATCCTGATCAGAGTCCCGCGCGCAGCCGCGGTGGCGGCAACCCCGCGCGCAGGGGCATATCGCGACGTCGTTTCGCCCGGCGGTCTGCTTAGTAGGAGTGGGTTTGGGGCCATCAGGAAACAGTAACGCGCGTCGGCTGAAAGGGGAGGGACGGAGGAGGAGTAGGGACTTAGAGACGGCCCCCATCGGCATGCACCGCAGGTCGATGACGCGCGCCGCCTCGCACGTCTCGGTCGCGCTGGATGCCGCGCGCGTCAGCGGCGCGGTGGCGATGTCCACGGTGGCCACGAACAACGACTCCAAGCTCGCAGTGGGGCCCCCCCGCCTGGAGCCCTGCGCGAAGCATTTCGGATGGCCTTCCCGAAGGGTCTGCCTGGAAGGGGGTGTTTAGGGGGTCTGCCTGGGAGGGGGGGTCCGAGGATCCCCTGCCCCCCCCCATGGTTTGCCTGGGGGGGGGGTATTGGGCAGGTTTCGGCAGCATTTCCAAGCGGGGTCTTCCCCCAGGGGGATGTTTAGGGGGTCTGCGCCTGGCGGGGTGTTTAGAGGGTCTGCCTGGAGGGGGGTGTTTGGTAGATTCGACCGGCTTTTTTTTGTGTGAAAATCTGAGGCCCCACCATTCTGGCCCATCACGTGGCCGGCGCTGAGTGGATAGATTGGGGAGGGAGCGAGGGATGGAGGGCGGGAATGGGATGGTAGCGTCTAGAGTGAGAGCCCTGACCTCCCGATTGTAATTTGCGCACCACTCCAAGGAGATGCAGGACGCTCGCCTTCGCTTGGGGGCCCCAGGGGAGACGATGTCCGAGAAGGAGCAGGGCGAGTGGCAGGAGAAGCGCAGGCTCTTCTTCAAGCAGACGCAGGATTCGGAGGAGGAGCGCAAGAAGAAACTCAAGAAGCTCGTCCAATCGACCCCGAGGATCGCCACTGCCGAGTGGCTCAAGGTACTGGATCGTGGCATTCTCAATGGATGTGGTTTCGGGCTGGAGCATTTCCAGAACGCGAAGGCGCTCTCTGACCTTGGGGTGTACGACGGCACGCAGACAGGGATCACAGACGACGACGCCCTTAAAGCATTTCTTGGTCAGCTACCTTCGTCAGTGAACTGCTTGGTTCTCAGCTCGGACCAGGAGGCCAAGCAGTTGAGCGGCTACAACTTCGCAAAGGACGTCCTCAAGCTCACATGTGTATTGATCGGAGATTGGTTTCATCGTTGCTGGAACGATCTTGGTGCAGCCGTTCGCAAAGCAGGTCTCCACTCCATCTACGTGCAGAAGCTGCAGCTGCACAACTTCCCACGCGGCCCCTGGAAATCTTGCGCCTGGTTTCACTCGTTTGCAGAAGCAGGGTCAAACCTGGCCAAGTGCCTGGACGTCGACCCCCCAGTGCTGCGCAGGCTGCGGCCATCCATCCTACACGATCGCCTTGGGATTGAAGCAGACGTTGCAGATGACAGCCAAGCTGGTGAAACAGGCCGCGCTGAATTCATCAAGACCTTGGCGCTCGCTCGGTGTTTCGACGTGCACGGCTCTCGAGCGTAACTTTCGAGGTGGTTCTCGTGGCGCAAAGTACATTGCTCGTGGGACAAGGACATGCACACTCGAGCGCTCGCACTTGCGAAGCTGGTCATTGACAAGGGGTGGGCATCGGATGTCGACGAGCTGTTCGAGTGTGACTCCTGGCGGGACATCGCTGTGCCAGGGCGGCCAGCAAGTCGCCCGATGGCTGCTCGTGCAGCGAGGGCGGCGCCCACCCAGATGCGAGACAGATGCAAGAACGGCATGCACGCTGCGGCCAAGATCGCACGCAACAGAAGCATCACCGAATATGGGAGGCTCATCGCAGAATTGACCAGGCCCTTCTACACCGACTTCAGCGAAGTGACGAAGACTTTGCACGGCACCGACGCGACGGCAATGTTTTTTTCTGGGGCGAGGCTTCCTGGCGAGTGCTCGACGTCCTGAAGAAGCTCCTCCACCTCAAGCGCGACATCGGCGTGCTGGACCACTGCGGCTTCACTGTGCGCTTTGATCCCGCTACCATGGCTGAGCTGCACCACTTGCACCCCGCCGTCGCCCACGAGGACGGAAGGACAATACCATGAAACGCAAGGGGTGGCGAGGGCGAGGAGGAGGAGGAGGAGGAGGAGAGACGCGCGCCCCAGGAGGAGGAGACGCGCGCCTCAGGAGGAGAAAGAGGGAGGAGACGCGCGCCTCAGGGGGAGGAGGAGGATGAGGTGGGGGAGGAGGAGGAGGAGTCGGGGGGTAATCTCGAGGATAGGAGGGCGGCTGCAGCTTTGAGGTGACTGGGGAGTTTTTTCCCACGCAGGCTCCAGGAACGGAAATGCTGACGAGTACGAACAGCGAAAACGGGGAAGAGGAAACAGCAAACGGAAACCATGACATGTGTTTGCCCGCCCGTTTTCGATCGCCCCTCCCAGGAGTCCCCGGCACTTACATTCGGCAAGTTGATGGACATCTTGATGCGCATCAGGGTCGGCTCATGTCCGTGGCACACGTGTGGCTACCCAGGCAAGCTCGCCATCATCAACAACCCTGCCAAGCTTCCAGAACTGTTTCGCAACCTTCGGCAGGATTTAGAGGTATGGCACGCTGCCCGCAAACAAGGTAATGCCACTGTGAAGGCCATGTTGAAGGGTTCGACGATGGGCCCTGAGTCACCATTTATGTCGTGGGTGGCAGCGTTTGCTCAAGCTGTCGAATTCGACTCCGCAGCAGCCCCCAAGCAGATGACAGACTTGATATCGAAGGTCTTCCAGGGGCTGGGCCATAGCCGCATCAACGAGGATGCAAACAAACTTCTGCGAGATACCGAGGGCCGTGAGAACCCAAACCACAACGTCGCTTTTGTTAGAATGTGGTCGGCGCTAGCAAACAGCAAGCTCCTGCAGACTGAGGAGAGAAAGGAGATCCCCCCTGAGTCTCAATGCAGTCCTCCATGTTCCCAGCTGCCTGACAAGCTGTTCAAGGCCGCCCTTCGTACCGAAGGCGCTGACACTGACGACCAGAATTCCGACCAGTGCAGCGTCGAGATGGAGAAGGCCATCAACCAAGTGACTGGCCCACAAACTCGGTCAACTAACACACCTGAGAGCCAGCAACAACGCATCGCAGACTTCGAAGCGCTGAAGATCATGCATGCAAATGGGCTCTGGGACAAAGCTGATGCGGCTTGGCGCGCTGCCTTGATTCCAGAGGGGGCCCTCATCAGGGCTAAAAGTATTGGCGAGGTCTACTTCGCTGTCCGCTCGTACTTGCGGTCCGTGCTCACATGGCCTTGCGTTAAGGTGCATGGTGAGCCAGCGGACGTCGAGCTCTGGGACTATTGCATGCATGTGCCACCTCTGCGATGGAGGCTGGTTTGGGATTTAGACAACTACGAAGTACTGCCCACAAAGCATGTTCCGCCGATTACGATTGCAATGCGAGGTGGGAAATCCAAAGGGGTGATCAAACAACAAACGGGACCTGCTCAGTACGTGCCCGAATTTCAAGCTCAAGCGGGCTTCGCCGGTGTTCCAGAGTCAGCGCTGCGCAAACTCAGGGAGCTCCTCAAGGCCGGCAGCGCCGACACCTCTGACGGCGATGACCAGAAGATGGACCTTGTCGTGGCCCTCCTGAAAAAAAAGATCGTGCCAACGAAGAAGGTCCACGAAATCAACGCGATACTGGCCAACGCGTTCCACGAGGAGAATCCCGAAGCCGACGGCGCTTGGTCCGAGGACTTCGAGACGGTGTTCGACGTCGTCACCCAGGGCGAGGGCAAGGACATGGTTCAATACTTTGAGGACGTCGGGAAAACCCAAGAAAAGAAAACATGCACGCCGAAGCAAGGAGTAAAGTGGTACCACGCTCTTTCAAATGCCATCCTGGGACCAAGCCGAATGCAAAGCCAGGAAAACGAAGGCCTGCTCCTACGTGGACCGCTCCTCCAAACCCGAAGGTGTCAGACGGTGCAGTTTTCCTGGAGGAACACAGACCTCCCCTCGCTGCTTTCAAGGAGGACGCAGTCTATGGGAGATGGCACGTGGTGCGCCCTGGCCGCAAGCCCAAAAGCGTGAGCTGGACAAAGCGTGGCATCCCTGAGGCCGTTAAGGTCGCTCTGCATACGGCATGGACGTTTCACAAAGATTCGACTGATGTACTTCCTCCATGGGACCTGAGGGGTTGGGAAAACAGTTCGTTGAGGCAGTGTCCGAGGTGCTCGTCGCAACGTTGACGACGCTCATACTTTCCCAAACAGCCTCCCTCACTTTACACATCCTCAACACCGTCTCCCTCCAAACGCAAGTCACGTGAATTTGCAGCTGTCGTCCAACTTGGCCAGGGGTTGATTGCAAGCGAGATTGTGATAGTAGGTCCGTTCTCCGTTTGTGCGCGCGGCTGCTCGAGTGGGGCTCGACCGCAGCCCGTTGGGCGCCCAGCGTTGCAGCGCAACCAAAACAGCTCAACCCACGTTTGAGCCTGACCGATAGAAGAGGGGGTGTGAGGAGATGAGGATTACGATAACGAGCACCAATAGGTTAAGGAAAACGATGTGACATAAGGCCCCGAAGAAACCGCGCGGGGGTCCCGCGAGGCGCCCGAGAGAGCCGCAGTGAGAGCCAGCTCTGGTAGCAGGACTGGGGAGGACAGAGGCGTGACCAGCAGACAGTAAGAAGGACAAGTGAGGAGGATGAGGAGGGCGAGGAAGGAGGGGCGAGGAGGAGAAAAGGGGGGAGGACGGAGAAGGAGGACGGGGGGGGAGGACTGCGGAGGTCGGGAGGAGAGAAGGAAGGTCGAGTGAGGCGACGGGCGAGGGAGGGGAAAGGGGGCAGGAGCAAGAGGAACTCGAGCAGCAAGAGATGGCGAGGGTGCGTGCTCTGCTTCGGACTGCTCTCCGAAGCCACGGCAGCGCGTCCGTCAGCAACGCCGCGGCGAAGGCTTGCGGTTGGGTCTGGGGGTGGTGTCCTACCTTCGTCGTGATACCCTTCCCTCCTCCTCATCGATCCTCGTGCTGTTGCTCCGTCTTCTGCCAGATTCCTCGGCAATGTTCATCTCCGTGTAGCGCCCATCCCTCCCTCCCTCCCTGCCTCCCTCCCTCCCTCCCTCCCTCCCTTCCTTCTCCTCCTCCTCCTCCTCCTCCTCCTCCTCGTTCTCGCCCTCCTCATCCTCCTCCTCCCCCTGAGGCGCGCGTCTCCTCTTTCTCCTCCTGAGGCGCGCGTCTCCTCTTTCTCCTCCTGAGGCGCGCGTCTCCTCCTCCTCCTCCTCCTCCTCCTCCTCCTCCTCCTCCTCCTCCTCTTCTCCTCCTCCTCCTCCTCCTCCTCCCTCCTCCTCCTCCTCCTCCTCCTCCTCCTCCCCTCCTCCTCCTCCCCCCCCCCCTCCCCCTCCTCCTCCTCCTCCTCCTCCTCCTCCTCCTCCTCCTCCTCCTCCTCCTTCTCCTTCTCCTTCTCCTCCTCCCCAAGAGGAAGAAACGGATCGGGGGTCCTCACTGCGGATGGTGTCCAGGAGCCTGATCCTGACCCTGATTCCCCTAGATCCTCCTCACCCGACCAGTAGCTGGCATCAACCCAAGTTACATTGGCTCAAACGTTTTGGGGCGTCGAGGCCGTCGTCCAAGGGTCTACCCCGAAGGGGGTGTTTAGGGGGTCTTCCCCAGGCACCCCCAGGGGTGTTTAGGGGGCGGCGGTGATATCCACGGCCAAACCTCGATTGGAGTTCCACGGCCTCCAGACCCTAGATGCCTTATGCAAGGTTTCCTTATCCAATGCCCCCACCGCGGGCAGCGTTGCTCTGTGGACCCCAGCCCCGCGAGGCGCGTGGGGTTTTCGCGCTCCCCTTGGGTGGTCCTGGGGTGTGCCGCGGGCGTGTGATCGCGCTGGTAAGTCGGCGCTGCGTTTGGAACTTGTTGCTCGCACGGGCCTCGGCCCTCGAGGAGAGAAAAAACTGCCCCCACCGCAGTTCTGCGCGCCGCCCCAGGCTGGCGCACAGCTCTGGCCTGCAGCTGTTCCCCCCTCCGAGCCTGCAGCCCTCCTCGTGCAGGGGGGGCTCTGCGGTGAGGGCACTGGTGAAGGAAGGCGCCCAGGAGGCCTCAGACCCTGGAGGGCTCCTCAGCCGAGGAGGGCGTTGGCGATGCCCCTGGCCGATACGCAGTTGGAGCTTCACTGGCTTCCAGCCCCCGGCTTCCTTCTCCACGGCTTCATTTTATTCGATGCCTCCGCCGCGTCTTCCTCGCCCCGCCACGCCACCCCAGCAGAGGGTCCGCGGGTAATGATCGTGGCAGGCGCGCTGACCAAGCGGGCGGCGGGCAGACTCGGACTGAGGAACGTCGGCGTGATGGCCGCTTGACGTCCCGGGCGGGCGGGCAGGCGGGCAGGGCGGAGCATGGCTGGCGCTGTTCCTTTTCCGTACTCTGCAACTCCTCCTGCATCTTTTGTGTCCCCAGACCTCCAGGCATCTCAGAACAAATGCGCCGGAAAAAAGTTCCTTTATGCTTGGCGTCCAGGGGAAGGCTTTGGGCCCCAGGGTAGGTCCAGCAACGTCTCAGGATGCCAAAGCTGGCCCCAGGGAGGGGTCAGGAGACCCGGGGAGGCAAGTTGCGAACGCAACGCGTCGTCCGAGGTCTAGGCCCCTCCCTCCTTCCAAGTCCTCCCCTCTTAATGTTCTCTCGATGCAGGCTTCCCCTCCGCGCCTCCTCCCATATGGCGTCCTCCTCCTCCTCCTCCTCCTCCTCCTCCTCCTCCTCCTCCTCCTCCTCCTCCTCCTCCTCCTCCTCCTCCTCCCCTCCCCCCAGGAGAGGGAGGGGGAGGAGGAGGAGGAGGAGGAGGAGGAGCACGAGGAGGAGGAGGAGAAGGAGGAGGAGGAGGGTAAGGAGGAGGAGGGTAAGGAGGAGGAGGAGGAGCAGGAGGAGGAGGAGGAGTTAGAAGAGGAACAAGAGGAAGAGAAGGAGAGTCTCTGATGAGGAGGAGGAGGAGGAGGAGGAGGACAATGAAGGAAGGGAGGAGCAGGAGGAGTATGGGGAGAGAGGTGTGTTGAGTGTGGAAGAGGGCCGATAGTGTGGTGGAAGGAAGAGGAGGGGGAGATTGGAGGGAGCATCGGGGAGGGAGGAAGAGCGGGCGAGGGAGGAGGAGGAGGAGGAGGAGGAGGAGGAGGAGGAGGACGAGAGGAAAGAGAGGACGAGGAGGAGGAGGAGGAGTACGACGACGACGAAGATGGTGACAAGCAGGCAGAAGAGGTGCAGCAGCACCGTCCGAGATCCTCTTCTTGCGCCACCGTCGCTGATCTGACATCGTTCGTGGTCGGCCTCGTCTTCTTCCGCCGTCGACCTGCTGGGCGGCCAGGACAGTGAGGCTTTAGCGCGACGAGCTTTTGTCTGCCCGAGGACAGGAGGCAACGTCACGCGGGCGAGTGCCGCAGCGATTGATCGCGGCATCCCGCATCAATTCTAGAGGCGATACTGGAAAGAGCATCCCCTCTGCTTGGGTAGGTCATAGTGGGATGAGTCGCTTGCTAGGCCACTGCTGCATTGCCATCGCAGTCACCGAGCTACCACCAATTAGTTGTCTCTCGCACTTGGCCAAGTACACGACGGGAGCCTAATTGCTAAGATGCTTAATGCTGGGACCAATCGCAGGTTCAAGTCTCAGATCTACCAGATTGGTCAGTGGAAATTGCCGTCCTCATGCGCCGTGTTGTGAGACCACAATTGAAGTGGCCTCAGTCAACATCGAGCCGTGCTGATCGTGCACTCGCAGCAAGTTTGCGCTGGTAATGGGTTCGACCGCACGTCGGGATTACGTACCTAGTAGCGTTGCACGGTGCCGCGGGAAGGCTCATTGATGTTTGGGCTATTGGGAAGCATCATCTTGCAAGCATGTGGGATGAGGAGTCAGGAGGATGAGGAGCAGTGCAGCAGCAGATTGCGGAAGGTGGGAGGGCGGTGGGTCATTCGCGTTTTCGCTCGACCCTTCGAGAAAGCTCTGCCGACGCCACTCGACCGAACCATCTCATGCAGTCTCCAGACAGATCTGCCTGTATTCAAGGGCAAGTTAAGCGTCTCGACTGGGTTTTCGGGCATGCGGCCGTGCACGCGCCCAGCACATCAAGAAGTTCTTTCTCCAAAGTAGGGTTTCGGAGCTCTTCGCCAAAGCGTCGCGGAGTTGGATTAGCCTCGATTACAGTCCTCAGCGGGTCCCTTGGCAACGATTTCTGTCTGAGAAGATGACATCTCAACGTATTTACGTCCTAAGTGTTCTGGACCAACCACGGTGGGGGAGCCGTGGTCATTAAGCTTTCTGGAGTCACCCATCGACTTCGACCCCCCTCTCGAGATATCGCCTATACGATGAATTATCCCAGGAAGGTCACGGTAGGATCGTCTCGTGTTGGCGCGGCAGCGACGCCGGCGCGGGCGCTCGATGCTGAAGCCGCCAGCGGCCTGGAACCAGCCGGCATCGAACGAGTTTGGATAACGGAAAGCTGCGATCGTTCAAGCTGGGTGTTGCTAGAAGTGCCCCTGGTCCAGATGGCCTCCAGAGCGCCCCTGACGAGGCCCAGGGGGCTCGATGGGGCTCCAGGATGGAGTGAAACGCTGGGGGCACCTTCAGGGGCACCTTCAGCGACCCTTGAGAGGTGGAACGAGCAACGCGGTGCCCGAAAGCAGCGCGCGCGCGCGTCGTGACGGCACGAGCTGGCCGTCAGGAGCACAGCTCCCCCGGCTGTGGCTGGTTGGATGACGGCAGCCAGGGACAACGCTAGGTCTGGGTCGGCTCAGGGGAGGACGCATCGGCCCCCGAGCGCCCATTCGTCGCCGATAGGGGCCAGAGAGCCCACCCCGCCTGGAAGCGTGCGGCTCTGCTGTCGGGTGTCTACCGCCGATCTATCGACGCCGCATCGCCGATTCCAGCTCGACGCTTCCCCGCCCCGAGCCGGCCTCACCCTCACGTCCCCCCTCATCCAGAAATTAAGCCAAACAACATCGAAAAGCATGTTTTTATTTAACGCCTTTCTGGCCTCTGGAAGCAGTTCTTGGGGCCCCTGGATTGCCACGGAATGCTTCAGGATGGAAAGCTGGATCTTCGGAAAGGGGTTGAGGCGTCTGTGCCCTTCGGTGGTCTTAGTCTCGCGATGAGCGGTGTTTCTGTTCTCCCCTAGGGGCTGGGAGCCACAAAAAACAGTAAGTACGTCTTGCTCGTGTTCCCCATCTTCCCCTTCCTCCTCCCCGTCAGAGTTGCACCCCTGGCCACTCCTGGATTGCGTTCTGACCTGTATTTCGAGGTGGATCCCAGCCGTGGCTCGACGCTCGCGCCATTGGTGGGGATCACCATAATATTATTCTTCTTCATCATCACCACCCTCATCATCACCATCACCAACACCACCACCACCGTCATCATCATCAGCAGCATCATCAGCATCATCATCATCATCAGCAGCAGCATCATCAGCATCATCAATATCATTGTGACTCTCATTATTAATACCGTCAGCAGCAGCATCATCAGCAGCAGCATCATCATCGTCATCATCAGCAGCATCATCGTCATCCTCATCATCATCAGCATCATCATTACCACTACTCATCATCACCATCATCGTCGTCATCGTCATCACCATCATCATCATCATCATCATCATCACCATCATCATTATCATCACCATCATCACCACCGTCAGCACCACCGGCATCAGCATCAGCATCAGCACCACCGCCATCATCATCAGCAGCAGCAGCATCATCGTTATCCTCATCATCATCACCAGCATCACCACCATCAGGAGCATCATCATTACCATCATCATCATCATCATCATCATCATCATCATCAGCATCATCATCATCATCATCGTCATCATCACCACCACCACCAATCATCATTCCTCATCCTGCCCCCCCTGCCCCCCATGCCTCCCTGCAACTGTGGGGGCAGGTCTGGCCCCGTATGTCAACGAAGAACTGCAAATGTCCTTCGCCTTGGCATCGCTCGGACGTGTGTATTTTTCCGTCGGCGAGGACCATCGAGGAGCATCCTTGATCACTTGGCGAAAAAACCACGCACGAAACCGAAAAAAAACAGGGAATGGACGTCCGAGCGATGGCGAGAGTGTGTTGGCCATCTTCGGCGTCCATTAGGCTCGGAATGACGAATCGCTGTTGGGGAAGGGGGAGAGCGCTCCGGAGCTTGTGGCTGACAAAAGTCGGGTCGTCGAGGGGCTGCGTTGGGCACTCATCATTGTCACTCCAGTGCCGTCATCGATGTCTGCTTGCCTGTTGCCCGCAGCCCGGTGCGCGAAACCCCCTCGCCACGTAGACCAACGTTCTACCCCTTTTCACGGAAGAAAGAGTTCAGCCCCCTGCCCTGATCTCAGCTGCGCCTTGATCCGCGGTCGGGATCACGACCGTCGAGTGCCCACACCACGCTTCGAAGCGCCACGGCATTCGCACATGCGCTGCCCGAGGTCCGCGCGGCGTTGCTGGGTCGGCGATGTGCCCCCCTCCCCGCCACCCGTCCCGGCGTCTCCAGCGCCGCCCGCGGCGCGCTCCGCCCGCCGCGGGGAGGGTGCGGGAAGGGGCAAACGGCGCCAGTCCAGAATCAGCCGCGCGCAGAAGGGGGGGGTAGAAGGGGGAAGGGGGGAAGGCTTCTCAGCAGCACCCCTGCTTCTCACAAGGCTCGGGCCTTCTCCGTAGACGTGGGCCAGGCGCCTTGTGAGAAGCAGCCTCCGTCTGAGAAGCCTTCCCCGCCTCCCCCCTGCCCCCTTTGTGCGCGCCGCCAACAGGAGGTCCGCGCGGATTTCCAAAAGACTATGTGCGTGTATGTTATGTTTCTCTAGGCCAGGATCCAGATCGCCGATATGCGAATCTGCCATCAAGTGGGCCTGTCCCTCTACAGGGGGAATACCCAAGATAGTCAAAAATAGTCTGGGGACTATTTTTTGAATATGTTTTGAGCATTTTGGAGTTTTTTATTTTTCGTCGAAAATCCCCCTGTAGGGGGACAGGCCGACTTAAATCTACCAGGCAGCCGTTCCAGCGGACGGTCCCACTTGGGACCGCCACCTTGCCGGCCGCGGGCCGCCCGCATCTGGTTGCCGATCTTACCGGACATCCCGTCTAAGCTCCTCGAAGTGTGGTTTCGTCGCTTCAGGAAGGGAAAAAACACACAGACAGAATGAATCGTCGATTCCCAGGAGAACATTGAAAAATATGGGATGTGGGGGGGAAGACAATTACGCCACCGAGGAACCCCACATACCTAGTTTAAGCCGCGTGTGTTCACAGACCGTCGTCGCACTCGTCGTCGCCCTCGTTGTCGTCGTTGTCGTAGTTGTCGTATTCGTCTTCGCTCTCGTCGCACTCGTCTGCCACGCTTTGCAAGCCCGAAACGGATAGGGAGACCGCACCCAGGAGCCCAGCGCGGCTCCTGCGCACCCCCTATGTTGTCGAGAAATTGCTGCGCCTGCGACAGTGTCATGGATAGCGGCCGCGCTCAGAGACCACCCCCTTCGCACCCCCTATGGTGTCGTGAAACTCCCACGCCCGCTAGGCTTTGCGACAGTGTCGTGGATAGCGGCCGCGCTCAGAGACCATCCCCTTCGCACTCCCTATGGCGTCGTGAAACTGCAACGCCTGCTAGGTTTTGCGACAGTGTCGTGGATAGCGGCCGTGCTCAGAGACCACCCCCTTCGCACCCCTTATGGGGTCCAGAAAGTTCCACGCCTGCTAGGCTTTGCGACAGTGTGGTGGATAGCGGCTGTGCTCAGAGACCACCCCCTGCGCACCCTCTATGGTGTCGAGACAGTGCCACGCCCGCTAGGCTTTGCGACAGTGTCGTGGATAGCGGCCGCGCTCAGAGACCACCCCCCTCGCACTTTGCGATTGGTTCCCCCCCCCTCCTCTCCTCTCGCTCTCCTCCCTCGCCCCGCTTTTTAAGATCAAGCAGGCAGACCGAGCGGGCAAGACTGCCCCTTCGACATAAAGTCTCCGGGCATTGCGGGTCCCTTCAACGTAAAGCCTCCGGGCCCGAGCGGGCGAGGTCTCACGATCCCAGCCACACACCGGCTGCACAAGGAGGCCGCGCAAGTTCAACGGCCCGGACGCTCTCCAAATGTTCCACAGTCCAGCTGGCGAAGGATTTGCCAGTGGATTTGGCCGATACTCATATATTGAATCATTCAACCGCCCCTCCACCCACTGCGCCCTCGTCCACGTGATGGCGATACACACATGCGTCTGCTCTGTGACAGGAGCACCAACATGCCGCGCCACGCGCTCGTGCGCGTCGGGGATCCGCGGTCGCAGGTTGATCGCTCCGTCTGGACGGTCGCTGTGTTCGAGGAAACCCGCGTGCTGCATGAATTCCCAGGCAGTCGCCGGGACGAACGTATACGTGATCACGTTATCGGTGGACGCCATGGTCGGTGTGAGTAATCCAACAGATCAGGGGCTTCTTAGTTTGAGCAGGAAGAGCAAGAGTTCTGTGAGCTGCGGAACCTTTCGATGGAAAACCACCAGGCTCGCACCAGATCGCTCGAGTGGAAGATCCCTTGGAACGAAGCCCGAGAGGATCGAGATCAGAGATCGTCTGAGGCCCAGGCATACGAGAGGACGTAGCGCCACAGGCACTGACCGAACGATATCAGGTCAGCCTCGCCGCAGCGAAGAATCTCCAGCCTGGCGGACGCAGACGCACCGTGCTCTCGACGCGACAAATTCCCGTGGATCTAAGAGGCAGGGGGGAGGGGCGAAGGTGGTTTCCAAGACAGACCGTACCCAGCGACTGGAGTCGCTCGCCGTTGCATCCGAACACTGTGTCGGAGAGCCCAACGGTCGC